CAGTGAGCGGGAACCGGTCTGTATGTGGGATCTGAACCCTCGGCGGGAGCGCCACCGCAGTTCCCAAGCGGCACCCTAGCGCAGTGCGCCACCGGGCCGGCCCTACTTTCTGCATTTCTCATGCGTGAAGTCATATCTGAGGATTGGAAAATGATCAGGGAAATAAGTGACCAACAGGGAAAAGAAAAACCTCATCAAGAGAGAGAGAAAGCATATTTAAAAAAGCATGATTTAAAACAACTCCCACTATGGAATATTACAAAGACCACAGAATTCTCCAAGAAAATCTACTTCTCTAGATGTAGAAAACTTAACCTATAAGTTGTTATCATAATATTAAGTGAAGATGCCTCAATATTCATCTGGTTTTCATCCACAAGAGTAACTAATTCCAGAAAGACAGAACTACCAATTCCTGAGCTCCTGTGCTAGGAGCATTATACATGATCCTAACAGACACATTTTAGGGCATCTTCCCTATCTATATCCTTTTTCTCAAAAAATGTTCCTCATAGGCCTATTCCAACAAGGCAAGTAGATTTATCGGCTGGGCTGAGTCAACTAGACCCTTTCCAGGGACTCTGGAACTCGGACACAGTCATTCTGGTGAGATTCCACGAACACCTGAACAAGGTGGACTTGTAAGGGACTGGAAGGGGCAAGCGCATTGGGATCATGTGCAAAACCAGGAACAACCCTCTAGAGAAAGCTGGTCTGCAAAGAGAAAAGCAAAACAAAGCAACAATGTAAACCGCAAAAGGGCAATGACAGATAAGACACCATAAACTCAAGGAAGGTGTTGTGATAGAAGGATGGGGCAGTGATACCTCCCAGCCAGCCAGCTTGCCTTGGTAACTGACACCTTTTCAGGACAATTCCAGTCCTTCCCCAGGCCTAGGCCACACTGTGCATTCTTAGGTTCTATGACACTCCCTTTTATTGCCTGAGTTTGTCTGGCTGTTTCTGTTACTTGTAACTCAAAGAAGCCTGACTGAATCATCTCATTTCAATCCTTAAAATCTAAATTTGGAGAGGACAAGAAACCTGCCCAGGGGCCGGCCCGTGGCTCACTTGGGAGAGCATGGTGCTGACACCACCAAGTCAAAGGTTAAGATCCCCATACCGGTCATCTTTAAAAAAAAAAAAGAAACCTGCCCAAAGTTCCACAGTGGGTAAGTGGCAAATCCAGTATTCATGCCTGGCTCTTTACTTCAGGCTGGTTCAGTAAATCTTCTAATTTTAGACCACAATACAATAAGAACATCTCTAGTGACCTTGATTTTTAGGAGATCCTTTTCCCTCTAACCAGAAGATTCCTGATACTGGCCAGCTGCCAAATCATAAAAACAAAGCAAAATGAAAGAAAAAGAAAAAAAAAAGAAAGAAAAGAAAATTACCAATAGGAGCCATAGCACTTACCTGGACCAGTTCTATAGCTGTAGAAGAAAAATCACAACAATAAACAAAAAGTCCTGGGTCACTGAAATGGCAGAAAAAAGAGCAGAGCAATTAGAATACAAATCAGACTATGTTTATTCTCCTCTTTGGGTAGCAGAGTTAAAACATCAAATGACAAAGAATACCATTCATTCAAAGAAACCGCACCTATCAGTCAAAACACATTTCATTTGGATTGTTTTTTTTTTTAAATTTATATCCTGTTTTAGGACCTGAGGATATGGCTAATATTAAGTTTATCAAACAATCAACAAGTTTCAAAACAAGGTCTTCTCTTTCTCCACCTACAGAAATACTTTCCCTTCAAATAAGTCTTGCCTTATGGCACCATGAAAATTCCTGTACTTTCTCTCTGAGCTACCTCCTCGGCACTTTCTCCATGCCACAAACGCATCTGTACCTGCTTGCCTGTCTGCCTCCTACCATAGGGTGAGTGCCATGACAACAGAGATTACACCTTTCATTTATTAGTTCACCAAATATTCACTGAGGGTCTGCTATGTGTTGGATATTATCCTAGAAGCTGGGGAGACAAAGATGAACATGACAAAACTCCTGTGCTTGTTTTTGTTATCCCTAATGTCTTGCACAAGTCTTAGCACAAAGTAGCAACACAAAAAATGTTAAATTGATATTAATAATGACCAAAATTGCTTTCATGAAACATACTTTATATTTATTCTGAAGACATCAAAATACAAAACAACTGTAATTCCAGAATTCTTTCTGTTGAGCTGGGGGGAAATAAAAGGGGGTGGGAAGGTTATGTGTGTATTTTGAGAAACAACAGCCCAGAGCTTTTCTGTACTGTTGGGCTCATTATTTGACTCAGTTCTTGAGATTTTAGGGAGTACTTGATACCTCCAGCTTCTCAAAGGTTCAGGTTCTGCTTCAACTTCTGGGAGGTACAATCAAGAATAATCCAACATGGTAATCACTAGCTACATGTGGTTATTCAAATTAAAACTGAAAGTTCAGTTCCTCAGCCTTATTAGACATACTTCACATGTGGCCAGTGACTATCCTAAAGGATAGTGAAGATAAAAAACATTTTGGGGGCAGGAAAAAAAAAGACATTTTCTTCACTGCAGAAAGTTCTATTGTATAGCATAGCTCTGGAGAACAGGGGCCATGCCTTTCCCCTGTCAGCCAGGCAGCTGCACGTGTGGAGTAGCCATTGTGATCATGTGCTAAATTCTAACAGACCCAGCTTCTGCCCTCCCAAAGGTTACAATCTAAATAAGAGACTAAGGGGTTGGCTGGTTAGCTCAATTGGTTAGAGCACGGTGTTGATTAACACCAAGGTCAAGGGTTGAGAGCCCCATACCAACAGAAAAGGTCATCAACAGTATGTTCAAATATACACAGAGAAAAAACATTAGAAAGACATACAAAACATTGTGTTAACAGTGGTTAGTTTTTTTGTTTTTTTTTCCTTTTTGTCTTTTTTCATGACCGGCAACGGATCGCAACCCTCAGTGTCGCGCCCGTACCGGACTGGGACCGGCAACGGGATCGCAACCCTCAGTGTTGCGCCCGCACCTCGCTCAGCCAGTGAGCGGCCGGTCTGTATGTGGGATCCGAACCCTCGGCGGGAGCGTCGCCGCGCTCCCAAGCGGTGCACTGTAGCAGTGCGCCACCGGGCCGGCCCCAACAGTGGTTAGTTTTGGATGGTGGGTAATGCACTGGCAAGGTGGTGTTTTGTTTTTTGAGCTTGTCTTTACTTACCAAGTTTTCTACTTAACACATATAACAAATATGGCAGAGTTACAAGGAAAAAGCACATAGAAAAAACTACATGAATCAGGAGTCCTTCACTGGGCTTCGAGGATAGAATTGTATTTCAAAATAATTGGTTTTCCTCTATTTTACTTTGTATACTTAAAAAAAATAATAAATTAGTCTGAGACAACTCTATATACAGAATGTATATTAGTGGTTGGCAAGGGTAGGGGGTAGGGGAAGTTGGGAAATGGGAAATGACTGCTATTGGGGATGGGGCTTCTTTTTGGGGTGATGAAAGTGTTCTAAAGTTGATTATAGTGATGGCTGCACAACTCTGAATATACTTAAAACCACTGAATTGCACACTTTAAATTATATCTCAACAAAGCTGTTGTATATAAAAACAAAACAAAACACATTAGCCTGAGAAGGTATCCAAGGCTTTACCAGACACTGCATTAAGAAACAATGTTAAGAATCTCTGACAGAAAGTGGGCATTAAAGTAACATAAGAAATGCAAAGGGATGCCAGGTTGGCTTGGTTGTTTAGAACACAGCCTTGTAATACCAAGATCAAAGGTTCAGATCCCTGTGCTGGCCAACTGCCTCCCACCCCTCCCCCAAAATCCATCTTTTGAAAGAGAGAGGGGAAAAAACAACAACAAAAACAAACAAAAGGAACATAAAAAAGGGCTACAAAGACTGCAGAGTACAAATACAGTTGGACTGTAATAAATAGGGAAGTTTTCTGGGTGCTTCTGAACTAAAATTTGAGGAAGCACAGTCTAGTAGAAATGAAGGAAAACATTTTGGGAAAGTACAGAGACAGGGAAAGACATGCAGTATGACCAACTCATTGAGGGATAAGCAACAAGACATATTTCGAGGGCATAACCTTGTACAGTATAGATTTTGAAAACTATGTAGAACAATATAAACCTAATTCACAGGCAGTAGAAAGCCTATGTCAGTTTTGAACAAGGGAATCACATGAATGAGTGGGTTCTAGCAAGACACAACACAGTGATATTATTTAGATGACACAAGCAGGCTGTGATGAAGATGCCATCCCCATTCTTTTTTACATTCTGATGACACTGATGACTTGCGGCCATAACTTGGGCCATGAGGGAAGCCCATTTTAAGTGGGTTCCTGTGTGACATCAAGAGTAGAACAATCTCTTCTCTTTATTGTAAGCTACCGTAACTTGCCAGATTGTCTTATAAATTTCTAACAAATAATACATATTTGTAATGAGGTCAATGTCTCACTGAATACTGTTAGTAAGTACTATGGGCTAAACTGACAAAATTATTTATTTATATGCAACCTTTGAGAAACAGTGGGTTCAGTGGAGAATATGGAACTACAATGTCATTTTCAAGAGTGGCCTGAAAATAGGTGTGCTATAATAAGTATATTTGGTCTTTGTCAGTGGTGCCAGGCACAGAGCTCCTAAAACCCTAGGAATTTCCTGAGTATTAGGAATGTCTTGTTATTCATAATGAGCCCCTTCAGGATCAAACTGAGTTTATATTAATGAGGTAACTTGGGGTGGGGCCCCTAGACAGCCTCAGGATGAGGTCAACAACAGAAAGACCAACTGATTAGAGAGTTGAAACTTTCAGCCCCATCTACCAACCTCCTGGAAGGGGTTGGAGGATACAAATTAGACTGTATAAAATTCCTGATGAGCTTCCAGGTTGGTGAATACATCCATGTGCTGGGAAGGCTGTGCACACCAACTTCACAGGGACAGAATCTCCCAATCTTGGGACCCTTCTGGATCTCTCCTTATCTATATACCTCTTCATCTGTATCCATTATAATAAACCGGTAAATGTAGGCAAAATGTTTCCCTGAGTTCTGTGAGCCATTCTAGGAAATTATCCAGAGGAGGGAATCACAGACCCCGGATTTATAGCCCATAGGTCAGAAGTACAGAGCCCCAGATTTGTAACTGGCATCTGAAGTCAGGACAGTCTTGTGGGACTGAGCCCTTAACTTGTGGGATCTGATGTTAAATCCAGGTAGATAGTGTCAGAATTGAATTGCAGGATACTGAGCTAGTGGAGAATTGGTAGGTGTGGGGAAAAAAACCCCGCATTATCTGGTGTCAGGAGTCTTCTGCGTGAGAGTGTACAGAAACTGTATTTTCACCAGAAGAGGAGACACTTTCATGCATGTCAGCTTTCTCAACTCTACCATGGGGGTAATGACGGCCTAGCCACCGAGAGATCACAAGCAGAGAAATCAAACCTGTGCTTGGAGGCACTATATATTAACACTGTAACAGGTTTTCTTTTTGGCAGCTGGCTGGTAGAGGGATTGAAACCTGGACTTTGGTGTTATCAGAGGCACACACTTTCATCAACTAAGCTAAATGGCCAGCCCCTAACAGGTTTTAAATGTAATTTTGCTGTTGAAGAAGGTAACTTATAAAATTAAACTAACAACCCATACATGGATAATGTGGAAATCTAAATCCCCTGTAATCCATGCTTCCTGATAACCACTGTTTATAGTCTGATGCAGCAAGAGTTTTGAAAAACAACAAACCTTCACTTTTCTCCTTTTTTGCTATAATATAGTTAAACCATACAACATACTTACTTGTTAGTTTGTAAAATTGGGAAGACTGTGTTTCCCACACCACAACCAACCTGCAGATAGAAATGAACTATTAACCACAGAATTTTCCAAAGAATTAATTCCCTGAAGCCATGTAAATAATTAACAATCAACAACAAATATCTAAGGCCGGCCGGTGGTGCACTGGAGGGTGCGCCGCTTGGGAGCGCAGTGGCGCTCCCGCCAAGGGTTCAGATCCCATGTGGAGACCGGTTCCCACTCACTGGCTGAGCGCGGTGTGGGAGCAACACCGAGGGTTGCGATCCCGTTGCTGGTCCCCGGTAAGGGCGCGACACCGAGGGTTGCGATCCCGTTAAGGGTCAGTAAAAAAGACAAAAAAGGAAAAAATAAACAAACAAAAAAAACAAATATCTGGACTGAACAAGTGGCAAAAACAACAACGATGGGCCGGCCCCGTGGCTCACTCAGGAGAGTGCGGCGCTGGTAGTGCCAAGGCCACGGGTTTGGATCCTATATAGCGAAGGCTGGTGTGCTGACTGGCTGAGCGTGGTGCTGACCACACTGTGCCAAGGGTTGCGATCCCCTTACCGGTCAAAAACAAACAAACAAACAAACAAACAAAAAACAACGATAATGACAATGACAATAACCTTGCCTAATTTTATTAGGGAAGCTGTAGTAACCAGAAGTAAATAGCACCCATGATATTTCCTGATCTGAACTCAGGAACTCTTAAAGAGGTAGCCATAAAAAACAAGAACATGGACTTTTGTTAACAGATGGGAGATGGTTTAGAAAAAAGGGCTTGGGTTGCTTTTACTTTTTGAGTTTTGTCAAATGGACCTATAATGAGATATTTTCTTACTGAGCTCCATTATATCATTATTGGAAAACTGTGTCTAATAGACTGGGCTGAAAAATTTATGAAAGGGGGACAATGGAAACCTAGATTTAACACTGTGTAGTAATAAAAACAGTGACCAGGCTTAATGATGTGCCAGACATTGTTCTTAGCAGTTTTACATACATTGTCCCAGCCCTCATAACAACTATGAAGCAGAGAGGCAGTAGTTCCATTGCTTGGGGAAGGTAAGGGACGTGTCCAAGATCACGCCTTAGGACTCAATCCCAAGGCTAACCAACTACAGAAATCGGCTTCCAGTGGAGTGCATAGTCCCCATTTGTGAATTTACATCATGGTACCCACGTAGACATTTTGCCAAGTCTAGCCTCTGCAACAACATCCAGCTAAGAGGATAAGAATTCTCCCTAGCCTGAGATGCAAGCACAATCCCAACTACCCTCTCCATTTTTACAACTGTGTTAGAAGAGAAGTAACAAGTTGTCTTGTGACCTGGGACTTTTTTCCAGAGGGATAGCACTACCATCTTGAGCTCTTTTACCTGTATGAGACAGTGACATGTGGCAGGTACAGCATGATGCTATATAACCTTTGGAAGTGATATGGTGTTTCCAGATAGTACCTCTGGTCATCTAACCTTTGTCTGCCATGACCACCAAATACCTGGTCTACACGTAGGGCATTTCAATTGTTCAAAAATGGAGGTGATTCCAGGCCAATATAAGGGTCAAGTCTAGTTAGCTTCATCAGACAGAAGTCACTTTTATGGTCAGCCTCTCTGTGCTACCTCATGTACACAACATGACAGATTCACTAATTCCACTACCAGGACAATAAAAGGAGGTTACCTCGAGTATTCGGTAGGTGGCTGAGGATCCAGGAAATTCATCAGCACATATTTCCAGGTGACTGAGTTTCTGAGTTACATTCTCCTCCACAGGAGGTGTCTGTGTTTTATGTTCCAGGCTGTTCAAAGAACATTTGTGCTGTTCTTCTATTATTAAACCAGGTCCATTCTCACTGCTTCTACATTCAGGTATTTCACTCCTCTTGTTCTCCAAGAACAAATCCTTTAAATGACTTTGGTTTTGGCTAGGTGCCAACTCAGGGAATTCAGTAAAAAGCCAATGTCTATCTTTGAAAAACCCATTTTCATGGATTTTATAGAAGTCATTCCAGTATTTGTGGGCATTGATCTCATAATCAACTGCAAATATGTAAGAAAGAATTTTAAGAACCAGATCTCAAATATTATATTTATATCTAATGCCAATTATCCTACTTCACCAAATGTCACTTTTTAAATGTCACTTTTATACTATAAGTATCCTCAAGTAGAGTCATAGTCTCAGAGCCAAAGGCACTTCCAAGATCATTTAGTCCCACCACCTATCATTATACCTGAATCTCCCCTATTTGTCATTCCCAGGGAGTCTAACTTTTGCTTGAATCATTGGTCAGGAACTTACTACCTATCAACTCTCCTCCCTTATCTTTGGATGGCTTTTAACTATTGGAAAATTCTAACACTAAACAAAAATCTGTCTAATTACTTCTAGTCAAAAAAGGTCCTACTATTCCTCAGGGCCATACAGAACAACCCTTTTGGATTTGAGGTCAGTTGTTTTTCCTCTATAAATCTTCTCCTTTACAAGATAAATGTCCCAGTTTCCATGTAAACTAGTTACCATCCAGGCAGCTCTTCTTTAAGTATGCTCCTCTGTCTGTGGTTCTTTAGAGTGGAGAGCCCAGAAATGAATTCAATATTACTAATAAATACTACAAATGGAAACAATTGAAAGAAAACCTAAAAAACTGGATTTTAGTTGCACCACTGCTACCACTAACTGACTGCTTACCTCTGTGCAAGACACTTAATGTCCTGCGGTCCAAGTTTCTTTAACTGTAAAAAGAGGATATTGATCTACATGATTTTCAAAATCCCTTTCAACTCTAACTTGCTTTGATATAGTTTCTGTCGAACTACACAGGGTAAACTTTGTAACTTAATCTCACAGATTTGTACAGAAATCTTTCAGTGGGTGCTACTCTCAAATTTCTAGTCCTATCCTCAATTATCTGGACCAACCAGTCCTAGTTCTAGTCTCTAGGGATATTTTGAAGTGAAATCATCTACCTCTGGAGGTGGGGCCTCTTTTCTTTGGCCAGATTGATCTCTACTCTGCTGCACTCATCTTTTCTTGGCAGAAATCCTCATACCCATCACACTCATCGTACCAGGAAAAGACATGTAATCACCAGTCATTGGCCCCCTCTCCCAACAACGTTTAGAATCTCATCACTTGAATCTAGCTTCAATGGCAACATCTCCTCAAGCAACGTGTCAGTCACGCAGACGGTACAGCCTCTAAGATGATCACATGACCACTTGATTGCCATAGGCCAGCTTTTTCAATATCGGTCTAATCAGCATAATTAAAAATTCAATGAAAAGTAAAAAATTAAAGAACAAAAATTCAGCCATTAGAAAATAATAAAGACAAAGTTACCCTTCCTCAAATGAAAACCACCACGAAAAAATCCACAACTCGGGCCGGCCCGTGGCTCACTCGGGAGAGTGCGGTGCTGATAACACCAAGGCCCCGGGTTCGGATCCCATATAGGGATGGCCGTTTGGCTCGCTGGGTGAGCGTGGTGCTGACAACACCAAGTCAAGGGTTAAGATCCCCTTGCCGGTCATCTTTTAAAAAAAAAAAAAATCCACAACTCAAAGTAGCCTCTACGCCCTGACGAGACTTTGCTCAAAAGCAGCCGTTTTCTTCGTTCCTCACCCCCTCCCGCTGCCGTTAGACTCGCGTTCTGAGGCCGGTACCCGCGGCTTTTGGCGGCCGAGGCTGCCCGGCCTCTCCGGGCGGCGCGTGCGGCAGTCCGCGGGCTGCGGGGCCGCTGAGGGCCCAGCTGGGCGCACCTTGTTTCTCCGGGCACACCCGCTGGGTGCTGTTCTCCTGGACCTTCCTTTCCGCCGCCGCCGCCTGCTCTTCCGACCACTCCACGTTGTCCCTGAGGAAACCAAACGGGCAGCTTAGGACCCTCACGCGCCGGATGCGCGTAGGGGGAGCGCCTGTCCCCGGGAAGACAGCGCCTCAGGTAGGGCAGCGGGACCCGTGGCCGGCGGTCAGGGGCTCCTCGGGGCGTTCCGGGGCAACACGACAGGAGGCAAACCGCAAGCCGGGCGAGGGGCAGGGCGGTTACCAGGCGTTGTGGTGGAAGACGCGCGCCGGATCTCTCAGGAGCCGGCTCCCGAACTGCGGCCTCCTCCCGCCGAAGGCTGCGGGCCCGCCTTCAGGGTGGGCGCCGGCCATGACTCCGGAGCCCGCAACACCCTCCTCTCCGCGACGCCGGAGCGTCCTGCTGGCCACGCCCGCTTCCGGAGGGCGCAGGGGCTGGGCGGGAAAAGACGGAGCTGGGGCGGCGCAGCCCCGCCGGGTGTGGCTGCCCTTGAGCTGGGAAAGGGGGTCCTGCGGGGAGGGGCCCGAGGGTGGCGTTTCTCTCCGGACTTGACTGTCCCCGAGGAGGCGCTGGCGGACGTGCGGGCTGGGAGACGTTCCGCCGGAGCTCCACGTGAACGCTGCGGTCCTCTAACAGGTTCCTCAGTTTCCCTCAAGAAGTAAGACAGAAGAAAACCTTGAGTCACTTCAGTTAAGGGTCCCACCGTGGAGCTGATGGCCAGAAGGATTTAAGAAGGCAGCCGGCGGCGGGAGGGAACAGGGAATTCCCTGCTTCTCCAGTCAGCTCTTCACAGTGCGGGAGAAGAGGGTGTCGGGGGCCGGGGCGTGAAATGAACTCCGAGAACGAGACGTGCCCGTCCAAGCAAACGGAACATCCAGGGACAAGTTTAAAATTTTTTTATAACCATCTACCTTTTTGAATCATCCATAGCCGGGCTCGTTAGTACAGTCCAGATTGTAATACATACAACAAACTGCCCCTTGCGCGCTGGTTTTATAATTATTATTATTATTATTATTTTGTTGGTTTTTTATGGGTTCCTTGAAGTATAATTTGCATACAACTAAATTCATCCATACGTACATACGTATGGTTTGTTATATTAATACATTTTAAGCCTTACGTTTCTATTTCTATAATTACTACAGTTTGAGTCTCAGAACAATCTCGAAGGAAGCGTACTGTCAGCATAAGGTTAGTTGAGAAGACTTTCAAGACTACCGTGATGAATGCCACTTGGAGGAGAAGGAGAGGGCTGATGAGTGCAGCGTCAGACACAGCGCATAGGGGACCAGGGACGGTTTATTCCAGTGAGTAAAACTGAGGGGAGCGATGAGCGATTCCATACTTTCCCAAGGAAGAAATGGGAACAAGTTCTAAACCCTCTCTAATCACGAGAAAAATATGCGAGTTATTAAAACGATAGTAAAGAACTTGTACTTTATTTGAAGACAAAATACTTTTGCCATTCTCCTGGTCTTTTGAAACATTTTGAACCAATAGCTATTTTCCAAAAACAAGTACAAGGATTTCTATCTTTTCTCAAGGCCAGCTATTTGCAGATATGGTGGTTGATTTTACATTTATTTTTGGCATATTGTTCTCTCATCTAGGGCCTTTTTTCTCCCCTCAGCAAAAGCTGTTAGTGTTCCCAGTCAGCAGTCCCGCTGCATATCTTCTTGGAGAGAGTTAACTGTCTTCACTTGAAGTTACTATATTAGGGCCGGGCCCGCGGCTCACTTAGGAGAGCGTGGTGCTGACACCACCATATCAAGGGTTATGAGCCCTTTACCGGTCATCTTTAAAAAAAAGTTACTGTATTAGTTCCAATAATTAGAGCCATTTAAAATGTCAACAGCTTGGGTCCTTTTTGTGAGATTAGCTGAAGTATCCTAAACTTAATTTCATACAACTACCTTTGGGAGTCGGCCCGTGGCTCACTCGGGAGAGTGTGGTGCTGATAACACCTAGGCCACGGGTTCGAATCTCATATAGGGATGGCTGGTTAGCTCAATGGGTGAGCGTGGTGCTGACACCACCAAGTCAAGGGTTAAGATCCCCTTAACAGTCATTTAAAAAAAAAACAAAAAACTACCTTTGGTTGGCCTATACAACTCATTTTTCTCCATCTTTTGAAGCATCTAAAATAATTTTTCAGAAGACATTTGGAAGACATGGCTGCGAGTTGTCTTTGGTATCAGCCTTTATACTGGACTGTAACTTCAGAGAACACTTTCAGAGGAGCTAAGAATCCCTCTGGCGGTAAGAACTCTTCCAGCTCACTGGGCGGCATGGGTTCAAAGCTTGTAAAGGTTAAGAACTCTCTGGACTATTGCCTTGAGTGTTAGCTGAGGATAAAGGTAGTTAATTGTTTCATACTTTTCTTTCAGTTGCAATCAGTGGGAATTCTGGACTGTTTAAGCATGTGCTCTGGAACTGAAGAGCTGGGGAAAGGTTCCTGGTGTCCTAATTTGCTCTCCCTAAGGTTTCACAAAACCTAGACAGCCTTTGTAGCAGCCTAGATAATTGGATAATCGTATAAGCTAGCTTAACAACTTTAATATTAAAAGCTTGTGTGTTTTTTTCTTATTGCAAAATAATATATGTTTATTATAGAATATTTAGAAGATATAGATAAAAGAAAATACCACTTCCAGGGCCGGCCCGTGGCTCACTCAGGAGAGTGTGGTGCTGATAACACCAAGGCCACAGGTTCAGATCCCATATAGGGATGGCCGGTTAGCTCACTGGGTGAGCATGGTGCTGACAACACCAAGTCAAGGGTTAAGATCCCCTTACCGGTCATCTTTAAAAAGGAGAAAATACCACTTCCCAGCACTTATTTAACCCATTAATACCTTGGTTTATATACTCCCAGTCTTTTTTTTCTAATTTATTTATATAAATAACTTTAAGTTAAAATAGTTTCAGAACAAACTGCCCCTTGCGCGCTGGTTTTATTATTATTATTATTTGTTAGTTTTTTATGGGTTCATTGAAGTGTAATTTACATACAACTAAATTCATCCATTTTAAGTGTACAGTCCCATAAGTTTTCATAAAAATCTATATTTGTGCAACTACTGTCATAATCAAGTTTAGAACACCACAAAGTTCCCCCATGCCTCTTAGCAGTTGTAGCCTGCTTTTTAACTTAATAATAGCTTGGGAGCATTATTCCTTTGAAATATTCCTTCACGGCATCATTTCAATGACCCTCTGTTTTGTATAGCTATATCATGATTTATTGGACATTTAGGCTACTTTAAGTTTTTTACTATTAAAAATTCAACATGATAAACATCCATGTAATGAAATAATTTTTGATATCTTTAGGATTAATTTCTAGAAGTGGAATTGCTGAGTCAGTGGTTATAATTAGCTCCATTACTAAGCTCTGTGACATCAGGACGTTTTATCTATTCACTGTTATATATCCAGGTCCTAGAACAGGGTCCAGCATACAGTATACAACTCAGTAAATAGGTGGTGAATGAATGGGTGAATACCTCTTGCTGTACTGTATTCCAGAAGAGAGGTGCCAATTTATACTGTCATCAACAGTGTGTGACAATTTAATAGAAAGAATGTATTGCTTATGTTTTAGACCTTCCAGGACAGATCTACTTAAAAATATTCTGTCAGTGTTATCTGATCAATGTTATCCCATTGATCCAAAGAAATATTCCAGGAATTCTAATATTTTGGCATCCAATTTACATCTCCTAGATTCCCTCTTACACCCACAGCCATACAAAAAAGTCCCTTGTCAACCCATAAATCTTGTTTTTTGATTAGAAAGTATGGTTACTTATCTATAAGGTTAGTTCTCTTCTCCAACATTGTAACTTTATAAAGAATAGCAAATATATTTGGACTCTTTTGAATATTCAAGGTAACACTCACAAAATTACTTCAAGGCTATTTCAGTAAATAATTTTGGGGGACTTCACTATCTACATTGCTTTTTCCTGGTACTTTATAATTTTACATTATAAGCCAGTGTCCTCATCAATTTTGAATATATCTTTTCCTTTTTCTGGATCATATTTTTCTAGAATGATGATTTAAAAAGCATTTTCTCTATATATTGATTGTGGTGGACTTAGCCACACACCTGCAAGCCAGTCTCTTGGATAACTCTTACAGATAGTTGATGTCATCCCTTACACTTTTAGATTAGAATTGACACAGGAAATAAAACACTTTACCACCCTGACAGTAGATCAAAAGGTAATACAGATTTAATCTTGGTAGATATAAATTTCCTGTGTCCAAAAGTAGTGGTCTGTCTCTCTGTGGTCAGGCCTCAAAAACCACAGAAAAATGCCTTAAGAACTCCAAGAGTGGAGCTAGGAAGAATAAAAATGTAATGGATGATGTATGCTTAAAGATGATTAAAATAGTAAATTGCCATAATAAAAAATTACATCCTGCCCTGGCTAGCCACCAAAAAAAAAAAATAATAATAATAATAAAAGAAAGAAAGAAAGAAAGTAAAGAAAAGAAAAAGGAAAAAAAATTACAAATGCCCTTAAACTTGTAATCTATAGTTATATATGTGCTCTTTGATCAAATGCATTAGCCAACAACAATAACAAATGTGATGGATGAGATCAGCTATTTGTAAAAGTGATCCAAGTGCAGGTGTGTGGCTGAGGAGCCTTGGGAGCGCACAAATTTAATCAAGGTTTCCTGGGGGCTGGTGGCCTTATTCTCTGAAACTGAACGGTCATTGTCATCCGCTGTCTCTGGCCTCTTTCATGAACAATCAAAAACCTAATCCTGTTTACAGTCATGCTTATTGCTTGGAGGGCCCTTAGGAGCTCAGGCCAGCTTTCCTCGTTCCTGCTAATGCCCAGGCAATTTTAAGCCATGTGGGGGCAGCAGAATGCTGCTGGTTGCTAAAGGAACTAACAGCACAGCGACTACTTATTAGTAAAGATTTAGGAAAGGGAAACCATTTTATGACTTAAACTTTTTTACTGGTCAGAATACAAAAGATGTCAAAATTTCCAGTTGCTAAGAATGTACTAGACAAAAATCAAGAAACCATAATTTTGATAACTATGAAAAAGTAGTTTGCGATGAGCTGTTTAGAAAACGTAGAAATTTCATTTTCGAAACCCTTTGAAACCTTTCCGTTTTCTTTTTCTTCCTGTCTCTGGGTCACATTCACTGATTTCCGATGAGGAAGAGAATCCTGAGTTGTAGAAGGAATTTCTACTCATGTGAGCATCATACAGCCTTAAGTCCTTAGGAGAAAGTAATTCTTGGCAAACATTCCAGGACCATGTGTAAGTAGAAAAGGTGTCATAAAAGGACTCATTTTTAGTGTCTATCCCAATCAGATCCCCTCGGATCTTCCGCCAAAGG